ACCTGCCTGCGCATCACCCCTCCTCCCCTCGCGCACACAGCCCTCTCTGTCATCTATCGTGTCCTCTCCAACCCTTTCAACCAACCCCAGCTCCGGCCAACCGCCTACCGAACTAACCTCGGTGCCGGAACGTCACCCTTTTCGTCTCGAATGCGAACGCTCTCGACGATTCGAGTCGACGATCTCTACGTACAGCGATCCGACGTACAGCTGCATCGCCCCATTACAACGCGCTGCTACTGTTAATTGAATCGATCGTTTTCAGATTGGCGGTCGCTCTAACCGGCACCGCAAAATCGGCGAAATCACGTCGCGCGTGGTGCAACGCACGAGCCAGTTCTCTGGGGACGGTGGACCTGGTCGCGGGGACACCGGAAGAGCGGTAATCGAGAGGGAAATGTGTTCGATGGGGGCGTCGCGTTTCAGAAGAAATATGCGTGGACAACGATCGAATTTCGTTGTTAAGTGTTCTTATGAATTGATCACGCGTTCAAGAAGTGGAACGAATAATCTCTCTTACGTAAAACGATAACGCGGATGTTTCATTATATATATATATTTCTTTTTGTAGGTGCTGAACGATTATTTAATCATTGGAGAAATGTTTGTTAAAAATGTACAATGCAGCGTGAAAGTACATATATCGTAAATTATCAGTTAGTTGGCGGATAATGTCACTGTAGATCGGCTTTAATTTCATTGGGACAGATCGATAACCGAATATCGGATTAAATTTCGTCACGATTTCATTTTGGGACTCGTATCTTTTCAAGCGGATCTTCTTTGTTCCTCTTTTATATATATATATAAGAAAAAAGGGTAAAGTATATTTGGCAGTCGGATTTATCCTGTCCTGGATAAACTTTGCGCCCGAAATATTGGTCGGCTATTAAAGAAACAATTATGAAGAATTGGGCACGGAACAAACCGGTTGACGAGCGGTTTGAAACTCGGTGCACAGTTTCCACGAGCGTAGTTTGATTGTAGGTCGAACTTTGACTATTTGTATGACCTTATTTGAGGTTTCCGGTTCTTGGGATCGAAGTTTCCTGACGCTGCGCCGCGTTTCAAATGATTATGTTTTAGGGGACCGTGTACAATCCTCGCAAATTACTTCGTTGCTTGACCCAGTTTCGAAACAGGCGGAACACGGGTCGTTCTCGGATAGGAAATTCACATTTTCAGACGTTTTGTTTGTGTCTCAGTCATCCGGCGAACAAGGAGGAAGGTGTATTATCGATCTCGCGGAGATGCAGTAAATATTGCACGACGTATTTACGCGTTTGCAATTGTGCGAGGATCAACGAATTGGGGCGGATGAATTTTGTTTGCGCCGTTTAACTGGGAATGAAACTGAGGTATATATATATATTTAATATTTTTACTTAAAACTACGAGATTTAAAAAGCAATTATAGCTTGCTTTCTTTCTTCGAACGCGTTTCCTTCACGTACAATGTAATTTATCACGAACACGAATATTCTTGAGAAAGCAAAAGCTCGCCTCGACTTTTTTTCCCACCGATAAACAATCTCGTCGAAATTTCATAATCGTACGTGCGTATTTTTGCGTTCACGTTTCTTCTTCGCGTTCGAACAAACAGAGTTCGAACAGAGTTTAAATCCAAATCTCGTTTGAAGATTGTACGAGTCAAATTTCAATTTAATCCCGACCAATCGAGTCCCGTTACATAATCGGCGCTATTCGATCGATTCGGTTTCACCCTCTAAAAAAAGAAACAGAGAGAAAGAGAGAGGGGAAAAAAAAACAACCAAAATACCCAATAACCGTTTAACATTATCCAATTAAAAATTCAGCTCTATCGCGTAACAGGGAAATTAAAAAAAAAAAAAAAAAAAAAAAAAGGAAAGCAAATTTCAAACAAACCGTTCAAACTACCGTTATCGTCAAATCGAATTTTTCCCCTCCCGCCTCATTCAAACTTTTAAATTGCATTAACCGACGATCATTTCGAGACCACCCCCTAACGTTCCCCGTGGAGATAATGCCCGTGGGGGGATTACGCTCGTTCGATTTTAACGGTGAAAAAGCATTGTCGCGCGCTGAATCGGGCGCGAAAGAGGCGGCCCGCTATCGATCCCGATTACCACGCGGAAAATTACCAGCTCGACACCGCCGCGCTGCTTGAACGGGCGCGCGCATTACGCCCCCTCGTTAATTAAAACGATCGGTCGCGGGCCGATCCGCGCTCGTTTCCCCTTCGAAACGTGGCTAGGCCGGGAAGAGGACTAATCGCGGCGTTCAGCGTTTCGAGCGTCCGCGCGTTTTCCGCGACACCGGCCGAGGGGGAGGAGGAACACCGAGGTGGCGAGGTTGCGCGTGTCCCAACGATCTCTGTCCCGGTGATCTCTCTGTGAAACGCTTAATTCTAAACGCTCGCCGAGCGCGGAGGAACGAATAGCTCGGTGGGACGCGGCGCCACTCGTCCGACACTTGGCAACCCGCGCTCGTTCCTACCTATCCCCCTTTTCTCTCTCTCTCTTCCTCCCCCCAGGACTCGCACCACCCCGTTCCAACGAATTGTTACTGTTAATCGATTCGATTGCTTTCGAATTGACAGTCCTCTTGACAGTGTCCCGCTGATTTACAGGCGGATGTTTGCACACCGGCCAGGACAAAAGAGATTTTCCACGTTCGCCCGNTGTTTTTCCTCCCCGCCGCGGATACGATTCTCGATCCGAGAATCAGCCGCGCGTGCCGCTCATTGAATTTTTAATCGACAATGGAAATCGATTCGATCTCCTTCACGCTCGGCTTTTTTCTCGCTGTTTTTTCACAGGCCGCCATTACGCTTCGCGGTTACGAATTTTTTCCCCTCCCACTTTGCTTCCTTCCACGCTGTCCTCGACTTTTCTCTCTCTCTCTCTCTCTTTATCTTTCTATTTTTTTTTCCTTCCTTTCGTGCTCGCGATGCGCAGTTCCGCGCACACACACACACCGATACATAGAACGTGTACGATCGTTCGCTCGATCCACTTTTTCCTTCTATTTCCGCGAATACGTTGCCTCTTCTCTGATCGAGTTCATTCATCCTTCGAAGTGGAAATCGGATCAACGTTCGTTTTCATCCACGATTCTTTTCTCGTCCGATCATTTCGCGGAACTCTTTCTTCCCCCATTGTTTTCTTTATTCCTCCTTTTATTCATCCATTTGCCACGCCGCGTTAATCGTCCCCTTCTTTCCTTGCAATAAAGTGAAATTGATAACAGATAAACCGAATTCGCAGAGAAAGGTGAGTAATAATCGTTTTGATATCGGTCTCTGATTCTTGATAAGTCGCTTTGATCGCGAATTAAGGCCATCGGCATCAATCATCCGTCCGCGGATCTGCTCGACGATTAATCTCTCGCGTTTAAGCTGAAAGTTGGTCGGCCGATCGTTTGGTTGGACGAAACGAATCGATCCAGCGGTGGGAATCGGTTCAACCGATGTTTTTTAACCCTAAACCAGCGAAATTTTCGTACGTAATTTCCCGGCCGCGCACCCGTTTGTTTCTGGCCTTTCTGGTAACCGGGACGAAGTGGAGAGAGAGAGAGAGAGAGAGAGAGGAAGAGGGAGAGGAAGGATGGTAAAGAGGCTAATACGATTTTACGTGGGAAACGAGTGAAAATACCGGAGTGAACGTACACACAGGGGCACACTTAAGCGCGATAAAACGGGTCGTACCGTGAAATGCAAGGAATGGAGAGAGGGCTGGATGGCGTCGTGTAGTTGAATAAAAATGGTGGAAAAATAATTCTTCGTGTGGAGAGCGCGCGATTCGTTTGCGATTTATTGCGAAAATCAACGAAAATCAATACTTTACAAATACCCCAATATTCATTATATAATAATTATTATTATTATACATTTATCACATCGTAAAAAAAATATTTCAAAAATTGTATTATTGAGATATTCGTAATTTGTCGCGTAAAAAAGCGAAGCGTAGTCTAACAGGATATATAAAACGCGTTGTAAATTTCTTTACACGTCATATATGAAAATCTTATCGATTGATCGGTATTCGAATGCTGTAATATATTTCCTTTGAAGATTCGCGTTTTCGACGAATATTCCGTTCGAATACTTTCTCTATAAAAGGTGGCAAGTGGGCCTGGTGCGTGTACGCGGTTAATGGCGGGAGCCGTCGCTGTTAAAATATTGAAGGAAAATATGGATGGCCGCGTAAAACGCCTAAATAGCAGGCTGACGATCCGGCCGCTGGAAACTCGGGTTACGAGGCTTCTCGTGTTCTCGTTGAAACGTTAGGCATCGATGTACGCTAGTGGGCTGTCCGCGTTAAAATCGTCGGGATTAACGAGCGGCGAAAAAGCGGCGCATCGTCGTTTCCGCGTAACGCCGGTTTTCCGCGTAAGGGATTCGAAGCACTTGTAATTACGGGGTTGCGGCTCGTAACGGAAGCTGTCCAACGAGGTTACGTTACGTTGCAAATTGGCAGGTTATAAAGATAGAACGCGCTCGAGGTACTTGAGTGCATGGGAAGTTAACGATGAGCGATATAGTTTGGATTGGGTGTAATGAATTTTAATTGGACGAAAGCTTCGTTTCATAATTTCGTTTGTGATTGATAAAATGCGTGGGAAATGAGCAACGAAAAACGATATAAAATATCGTTATATATAATTAATGTAATCTTGAAGTGTTTTATATATCTACGGGGAAGATTTTATTATCTATTATCTTTTACGCTCACATGTAGCGATTATTTTCAAGATTGGCAATTTCTTCAAATCTTTATTCGAAATTAGAACTTTTATCTTTATTATTATTTTCTAATTACAATAAATCGTGTTCTTAAAATATATAAATTGCACTTTTGTAAAAGATTTTTATAGAATAGTCGCGAGTAATACATTTAATTGAATCGTTTTAAATATTTAAGAGAGTTTTTATTAATACGGAAAGAAAATGTCGGAAGAGACATTGTAAATAATGGAAAGCGAGAGAAGATTAACGACTATTTTTCTCGTTACAGATGTTCTGAGACGCATCGGTGGTAAAAAAAAAAAAAAAAAAAAATGAAAGCCGTAATCGCGACGTGTCTCCTCCTCTCTGTCACCGGCGTCCTCTCCGTCGAGTGGAAACACAGCGCCGTCCTGGACAATAACTTCTTAGTTCTTTGGACGCCAGGCGAGAGGGATGTGATGTTCGAGATTCAAGTGAAGACCCTCGGCTATGTGGGTCTCGGTTTCACGAGGGATGATGGCACTGTTGGGGCTGACATGGTCATTGGATGGGTGGACAACAACGGACAGCTCCATCTTCAGGTAAGTGTTCTTAAGAGCGTCACGTTATTTCCTTTGCGATCGTTCTCAGACACGGCTCGTGGTTTCTCCTCGTTCATCGTCTTCCCGCAAGAGCATTAATGCTCTTAATGCTCCACGAAAACCATATACCTATATTACTTAAATTACTTAAAATTGTACGCGCAACTCGATGATGGAATCAATTGCAATTCATCTTCCATCTTCCATTCCTTTCTTCTCGAATATTTTCGTAAATAAATCTAGTAAAATTTCTTAACGTAACGTATACATGTATCATCTACGATCGAGATACAATGTCTGTACAGGTTTGAAATTTCGAGAAACGTATCGCATGATTATTATCGTCTGCCAATCGCGGATGTCGTCGTCATAAAGTACGTCGAGAACCGAGAACGATCGCGAAACGATTATTTTCATCGAGGTCTAGCAAAATTACATTCATTCCCCTGGAACGTTGACGTGGAATAATTTCAACTAATTACTCTTATGCTACCGATCCCGGTTCGCCGAGTGTTGGCCACAGAAGGGTACACCGTGTGCACACAGGGAGAAGCTGCATAATGATAGTCCTTCCGGAGATAAGTAATGGGTTTCTCGTTTCGATCGGTGGATCAGATAGTTATCAATCTTACCAACCGAGGGCAGCGGCCTGTCATTATCGGTGCTCGTCATTTTGTACGACACTATGTCGTTTTATTTTTTCGGCAGGCTCGATTATCTTTGGATGATTCTCAGTCACCGGCCCCATGATGTATTGCTTTTATCGAAACGCTATTTTTCGAACCGTGCACCGTTTCCCCTGGATCAGATAACTTTTTCCTAGCATCGGGACACGATGGGAAACGTGTACGTTGCTTTGATATATTTCGTTCCAATTTTTTTTTTTTTTTTTTTTTTTTTTGAACGAACGATTTTAAATTTATCGTAATTGCGATGGAAGAATAGAAGGTATCGGGAGATATGTATTTGTTTCTCGACAGAATTTATTTTAATTTATTTTTAAAAAGAAAAATAGAAAAGGAATGTCCACGATTTTTCACTCGATAAAAGAATTCTTTCGAAAGAAAATAATTCCTTCTAACAGGAAATTAAAATCAACAAGTAATTTTAATAACTCTAAAATAATTCCATAAAAAGATTCCCCCTTCATTAATTTTATTATTCAATTGAAACAAGAGGAATATCAATATACATATATAAAAATTAGTTTTCAATTTCACCGTGAAATCTAAGAGACATAGGCACGACTGAATTTCATCTCGAAACCTGCTATATACACGCGCACAAGGAAACATGTATCTTCCATTTCCACGGAAGTCTAAAGCCCGATAAACTAACAAGGCGAGCATCCCGCTATAACTCGAGAGACGTCGCCTGTAAACCGGTTTTAATTTCGCCCGAGGGGGTCCACAAACGTTACGTGCATAGAATTTTCGGCCCACGAGTTTATTTTCGAGTACTGTTAAATTTAAAACATCGTTATCCCGCCGCATCAGTTGGCGCAAACCCTCCTCGAGGACCGGACTCAAGGGGATTACTCCGTTATCCTCCCTTTCATCAGCGTTACGCGGCTGTTGTCACTTTACCCCGGCTTCCTCATAACATCAGGATCCAGCTATGGAAGGAAGATGGACGACCATGAGCGACGTTCGTCCGTTCCTTCCTCGTTTCCTCCTCTCCCCCTATTTTTCCGCCTCTTTTCGTATTTTCGCAAGCGGGACAGGCACAATTATATAACACCGATGCATCAACGCTTCTCCCTCCCTCTCTCTCTCTCTCTCTCTCTCCCTCTCTCGGTTTCGTTTGCACATTTGTCGTCGAATATTTCTTTTATGAGCGGTCTCAGTTTTCATCGTCGTCTAGCACAGGATGCTCCGTCGCGGGAATTTCCTGGCCTCTAGAGTTTGTGCGATGTCACTGTCAACTCACCCTCCTCCCTGATGGATAGATGCTCCTTCCCTGATTACCGTACGTTATTAATGGTAATTTTCGCAACTTCACCTGCTGGATATACCTCGCAATAATAACGTCCAAGATGGATATTTCATATTATAGACATAACGAGATCGTTGATCTTTCCTTTTTTTAAATGTTTTTACAAATACATTGATAAATAAATTAAAAGTAATAATTTCATCTTTGAAGGATTCGAGGGAAGACGAGAATGAATATGAAAATTCGAAAGAGTGATTCGATCGAGTTAATCGTAGACGATCTTAT